CTTTGATGACGTTGTTTTGTTATTATTATTTGATTTCATTTGATTTCTGGTGTATACTCATATCTTTTGGGTTCCCAACCAGAAACCTAAAGTAAGAAATGGCACCATTACATTTTCCACTGTTCATTTTTAAAGAAAAAAAGCACTTAAGATCACCCATATTTTACATAGATAAAGCACTTCGTAAGGTGTGGGCTGCATTTTTGAGAACATATTTTGTTATTTCTTTAAGGCATGGACTGTCAGGAATCCCTTCAATGAGTCTATTGGAATCTTTTACAATCAATCCGAGGGCTCCAGCTGCAACTGGAGATGTTAATGTCCTCATGTGCTACATTTTTGAGATTTACATTTCAAGGTTCTTGTAGTTTGATAGTTTTTGAAGATACATTACACTCTGTAGGGACTGCCATGCAGATAAGAAGGCATATTTTGTTTTTATGGTCTCTGATCACGATGTCTAGGTGATTAGGTTTGATTGTTCTTTCGGTGTTTATAATCAAGTCCCATAAAACTGTTACAGATCCTATCTCCGTAAACGGGTCCAGGTTGTGTTCATACCAATTTCATGCAGTTTCCTTTCTGTAAAAGATTTTCAATGCAGATATTTGCCCACTCTGTCATGCTGGGTTTTATTTTCAGTGGATGTCCATATCGTGCAATTGTTTCGGGATATTTATCACAGAAACTGCATTTTGAGCTAATATAGTTTTTCACTATATGTGCTTGGTAATTTCTATTCAGCAAGCATTGGTCATCTGCAGCAAGAATAAATCCTTCGGTTTTAGATTCTAACACTGCTTTACGTAGCCACTGATGGGTAAGTTGTTTGTCTACATGAGCTTGTTTCCTACGAGTAGAATATTGAGCGTGAAGATGTTTACATATCTGGTCGATTGCATTTGGATTTGTTTTCTTTTTTAAGTATTTTGCTGCTGAAATCGGTGTATTATGTTTTACTTGCATTTCAACACAATCTTGAAATTCCATTTGAAATTAGTAGGCATAAAATTTCTTACTTCTTTCATGATCTTTGACAAATATGATCATTTACATTATTCGGACTATTGTTTTCATCTTTGTCGCCATATTTATTACAGCGTTTCGGCCGTTGTACGACCCGGCCTTCTTCAGTTGGTTGGAATGTTGAACTAAACCTCTTATTTCGCTCACTGAGGTAGAATGTTCTAGTTCCACGTGCCATGTTTAATGGATGTCAGTTACCAATTATCTCCTGTTATTTCCCCTCTCCAAGTTCTCCACTGCCTTAACCGGGTATTGAACTCACACACTTTGGGTCCTGTCACTGGATCTAACCAACGCCTCAAGGACACGTGGCACAGTGGATAAAAGCGTTGGTTAGATCCAGTGACAGGACCAAAAGTGTGTGGGTTCAACATCCGGTTAAGGCAGAGGAGAACTTGGAGAGGGGATTTAACAGGAGATATTTGATAACTGACATCCATTAAACATGGCACGTGAAACTAGAACAGTCTACTCCAGGGAGCAAAATGAATGGTTCAATTTGACATTCCAACCGCCTGAAGAAGGCCAGCGTACAACGGCCGACGCGTTGTAATAAATATGGCGACAAAGATGAGGACAATAGCCCGAATAATGTAATTAGTGTACATGATACCTCATCTCAGAAATATAGACAAATATCATCATCCAGTCTTCTTTAGTTTGCACGTATCTATGAAGTTTTGTAAGACAATTCATAATGAACTAATCATCTGCCTTCTTCGGATATGGGAACATACAAAAAATCAACATCAGCCTTGGGATGATGCATCCGTTTGCAAGTGAAAAGCTTTCACGTTTTGGCGTCCATTCGCTTAATGTCAGCTATGATCCAATTAAGGATGTTGAAACTGTATTGCACCTCAGGGACAGCCAAGGTGTTTCTGGCTAATATATATATATATATATATATATATATATATATATAATTCAGCTTGTTATTCAATACACGCCTGTAGTATTCCTTTCTTATCTTCTCCTTTATCTGGGTATGCTGTATTTCATCTCTTTCGCTAATTCCTAGTTACCTAGAGGTGTCTTCTTGTTCCAGTTCCCTTATCCTTGTGACAAAATCTAAATCTATTGAGTGTGTTTCTGTAATTCTCCCTTTCTTGAATATTCATTTGCACATTTCTCTAATCTGAAATCCATACCTTTGTTGTCACTGAAATATTTTACAGTATTGAGAAGGCCCTTCAACTCATAATTGTCTTTGGCAAAGAGTTTCATATTTGTCCATGTAGAGTTGGTGATTGAATATTTTCTTGTTTAGTTTGTATCCATAGGTATTATTGTTTAGTTTATGCGTAAGGGTAATTAAGGACAGACACAACAGAACTGGTGACAGAGAGACTCTCAAAGATTCCTGGTTCGATATTCAGGCCTTTGGATGTGACTGTGACTGGTTTCCATATGCCCATGCTATATTTAAGGAAATTTACTGTCAATGAGGAGACTTTATACATTTCCAAAGGGT